CAGTACGAGAAGTCATCTCGTAGGTAAATAATTATGTTTTGAAGAGTTTTAAATATATAAAAATAGTGCTCTTTCAAAGAACAAGATGTAAAACACCTTGTCCATTTTGATTGTAATAGAGATCATGTACTTAAGAAAACTATAAACATCTTTTCCACTATGATTGTATCAGGAATCATGTACTTAAGAAGACTTTAACGTGCTCGAAGTGTGAAGAAGCTGGCCATAACATCAACACCTGCGATGGCGAGTATGTTGTTTATTGATTTATTCGATTCTGCGCGTGCTCGTCAGTCTCCATGGCAAGTCTCTTTTGTGTAATCATTTGTGACTTTCTTGTTTAAATTTTCTTTTACTCTCTTTCGAAGTATACGAAAGCTAATAGAAGATCACGAAAGTTCAAGATAAAGAACATTATCAGTGATTGCAATGTTCAGTTTGTTGCTTGTGATAGATTGTGTAATTGATTTCCAGGTGTCATAAATCACCTGCTAAAACGCACAGGCAAAAACAAACGCCAACGAAGATGCACTCAGCAGACCAAAACAATGGCACCGTTAAGGATTCGCCCCTACGGGAGATACCAACGACTGATGGGCCACCTTCATCAACATCATCTGCCACGTATGTCTATTCGGTTTCCTAAAAATATTGAATTGATGCTGATAAGGGAAGGAATTGAGATTCTTTGTTAATGATCGTGACTTTATCGAAAAACCCAAAACAGTGACACCGTTAAGGATTCACCCCTACGGGAGATGCCAACGACTGATGCGCCACCTTCATCAACGTCATCTGCCACGTATGTCTATTCGGTTTCTTAAAAATATTGAATTGATGCTGATAAGGGAAGGAATTAAGATTCTTTGTTAATGATCGTGACTCTATCAAAAAACCCAAAACAGTGACACCGTTAGGGATTCACCCCTACGGGAGATGCCAACGACTGATGCGCCACCTTCATCAACGTCATCTGCCACGTATGTCTATTCGGGTTCTTTAAGATATTGATTCGATGATGATAAGTGAAGGGATTGGATTTTTTTATAAGATAATGAAAATCTGTTCACAGGAGAAATATAAGACGCATTACTACGTGTATAGAGAAACTGATGCCGCGATGGGAACTTGCGATTGATTCGGGAGAACATCAGGAGCTTCTTTACATCAAATTATCAAGCAATATGAAAAGGAGAGGGAAGTTTTCCTCGTAATAACCCTCGACTGCTTTTACCGGTATGTATGGGATTCTAGAGGCACATCGAATGGATATAGAACATTTTCAAAATGTGTTTCTCAAAGAATAGATTGATACAAAGTCTGACTTCCATAGTTTAATTCGCCCTGTTACCGCCCTGTCACAGATATCATTGCGTTCGTCCCAGATGCTGATAACAATCCGACACCTATACAGACAGAAATCTCTTTAGTGAAAAGTGACACGAAAACCAGTGAATGTATGTTTTTCAGGCTGTATATCTCTGATGATTGAGTTTTTAAAGACTATATTTGAGTAACGTAAAGATTATATTCATATTCAAAACTTGTGCTTGCTTGCTGCCGTAATATGTACATTACTTGGTGCAGAGACAGGCTCCTATCGTTGCAGACAGGGAATGCACATCAAGTCAAATGAGAACAACAGCTAGTAACGACAACGGCAATGACTACGCATCAAGGTGTGTTTTGCATTTTTGAGAAGGATTGTCGTTTCTCTGTAAGGTGAAGCTCGGTAAAGTTTTACTGAACCCCATATTCCCAACCTATCATTAGTAGTGAACTGCCAGGGGAGTTAGAACATCAAACATATCAGGCCGAAATCCATGCATCGGGTGCATCAACAAGGAAAAAACTGGCTGCAAACCGCAACGCACGCCTAGTAGCCAAACGAAGCAAGACGCGTGGCAAGTTTAGAGTGTTAATAACTAGCAAAAACAAGTTGTATTACTCTACGTTGTTGAGAAAGAGAGCGCAGCCTTCTACAATGAGCAGTGGGAAGAGTGAACATGTAGAAAAGAAGCGAAAGGAGATAATCAACATAGATACCAATGTAGCGATAGGTACTGTGGCAGAGTCGAAGTCATTTTATGTCGGCGGTTGGATCTTGCAGGAGAACATTGTAGTACAATGCTGCAAACCAGGGGAGTGGATCAAAGGCTCGCTTACATCCGGGGTATTTTACCATTAATCACAATTACCCTCTCTGGCTGTTCGTTTCTGTCATGCTAATGCATGTAGAGTATGGATGAAGGCCTTATACAAGTATCGAAGGGCAGAAAGCTTACAACTTAAGGGACCACCACAGGTGTCCGAAAGGGTCTCTGTATTGATCCTATGAAATCATAGCAACGCACATTGGAACTTGGCGATTGTTACATTGTACAAAACTAACGCCACAGTCACTATTTTAGTTGACGAACAATTCAATTATATAGTACGATGGATGAAATTTTACCTCGCAGATAACGTTACACACAGCCTAAAAGTAGGCGGTATAAACCAACACGACAGTTTTAACTGTGGGGGTTTGCTTTGTGCCTATGCTAGAGCAATATCAGAAAATCCACAACTCGTGCAAGTTTTGAAGGAACTGTCTTCGCACGAATATGTCACAAGCGGCCAACATGACATCAGTATTAGAAAATGGGTTTCCGAAACACTATTCCCGTATATTCCTGTAAAAGAGCATCACAGACCACGTGAGTTGCGAGCCAGGCAGTGAGATAAGCTTGAATGAAGCAGCTTGGATGAAGCAGCATATATCAACACCAATTAATAAAAGACAACATCCCCCCCCTCAACACATTTGTTCGTAAAAAATGGATATAGCCGAAGGCTCTTTAATTTAAATTTATGCAAATTTTGCACGATAAAGTCACTAACTGTACATAATTATTTTTTATAATCGTCGCTAAATGTACATTTGTACATATTTGATGAATATTTCAGTACGATTTCATTGAGGAGAAGGGTGAACGTACATTTAGTGACTTTTCCACATTTTCAATGTACATTTAGGGACTTTGTTCTTTATTTCAATTTGGTACATCGGTTTCATAATCGTTGGAGAGGTTCGGTGAGATTAAAGGGAAGTCAGTCTATTCTACAATAAAATGAAGAAGAAAAAAAATTCCTATATTATACGCATATCGTGATATAGAGGTTCGTAGCATCTTTCAAACAACATATATATAGCTCAAGTTAATACTGAGCAGGTGACTACACTTTTCCTCTCGTGCTATATTTTCCACGGAAGTAAACTAGACGGCTTGCAAACAAACGGTTTTCAGAGATTAAGCTTTGATAAAATGTTATAGTTAAGAATCACAAATAAATTGGTATCATAGAATCAAAGTCAAGATACCGAAATGTAACGGCAAATATAATCAGAGATCACACTTTTGCTCTTGTGTGGAATTTTCCTTGAAAGTAAGCTAAACGGTTTGCTTAAAACAAATTTGTCTTCAGAGATTGATTTATCAAATATATCGATACGAAGATACGAACACATGACTCTTGCACTTTCGAAAATGGAAACTCTAACACTATTGGATATGGAACGTCCGAGCGCGCGAGCGTCTCTGATAGATAGTAGTTCGCAATAACTCTGGGAAGACTTAAATTTCGATCAGCCGAAACCGATGACGATCACCAAAGGGAAGGCTATGAAACTAAGGGCTCTTTTCATGCTCTGTATCACTTATTAACTTTCCAGTTTAAGAGCCGCTGTTTGATACGAAAACATCATCGAGAGCTGTCAGAAACAAAAGTTAGTTAATAGACACCATTGAGTGTCAGTACCAGTTTCAGCATTGCTTCCAGTAAATCAACAGTGACAAATAAGCCGCAAAAGCGTGCGCGGAGGGTGGCTGTAAAAATAAAACAATCATAAGTAGACGAGGAAGAATGCTATTTTTACTATTGTGGTTACTTATGTTATCGGGTTATGGGCCTATTTAGACAGGATTTAAAGTGGATGTACCTTGCCGCAAGAAAAAAATGGTCCAACACATGGGCAACACATTCAACCGTCACGGCTTCCATACTGACATCGCCGACACATCAGTATCATGCAAACGTGTAAGTTTAAGCCAGAATGATCCATTTTTGAGATAGTTTAAGAAAACGTAGTTCATACGACCTGTGGGTTCATATAACTGATTCTGAGTTCACAAAGTCAACACCAATTTAGTTCCGATCTGCATAGTAGTACAGCACCCATTTCACCATACCACCACACCAGATATTGTACTTACAACACAGTCGCACACCGTCATTATGAAACAGGGCGTTCTAGTGGATATACTTTGTAAACAACCGCAGCTCATCAGTCTTCGGTATCATACCGACTTTGTTGCATTCATCAACACAATGCATAACTCGAGCACGCTTCTTCTAGGCTCAAGACCAGCAGTCAGATCACCGAAGAGAATACCCCACACCGTACCCCGATAAGGCTCATCCCGAACGTAAGCAACACCCTGTTGAACAACTTCTCATCCGAGCTGCCCCAGATTCCACGATACAGATGACTTGCAGACATTTGACCTTCACGAAGTACACCAGCTATTGTCTTGGTCAGCATCTTCAGTCTACGTATCATGTAATTGGTGTTTCAGGCTTAGAAGCGGAGTTAGTGCCCGTATCTCTATGGCGCTTATCGATTATAGCCCATTTGCACGCGTGTACCTCGATATACGCAAATGTGTATTAAACGATTAATTTCGCAATATGCGTGTGTGCTATATGTTTTCTTTTCGGAAGTATACATAAGCAAGCACATGACAGAGGAGGCACCGTGTATATAGTTGTTGGTGTCGGCGTATCTCTGGTGATGAAATCTATGTATGTTGTTCTGCCATGCCTATTCCCGCGTTTAAAGCGGTGACAGTGTTGTAACCCATGCTGATTGAACTCCTGTAGTTTCTACGACAAGAAATCCGCAGATGCGGCTGATGAGCCATGGAAAAACGTTCAAAAACGCTTATGAAATGAGCGTTCAACATTCTTTACTGAACGTGGTCACATTTTAGGTTCGTTTATTTAATACTAGATTTATATACAACTCCGCAGACGACCACACTCGGCCTCTACCCCCAGCCCTACTCGCAACGGATACAGCCGTCACAAGCATGATTCAGAGTATTCAATAGCCGACAGTCATGACTTTTGTAATCAAACTATTATAGCTTTTAAAACGTCTATATTTAGCGTGTTCAATCCCGAATTTCTATTGGTAGTAGGAATTGGTAGTGCGCCGAGTTGCAATTCGGTTGTTGGCATCACGGCGTTGTGCTTCACGGGCCATACTCGTGTGCTGCGATTTGATTGTCCGTTGCACAGACACCTGGATAGTGAATCGGCACACAAAGCTATTGTCAGTTATGTGTGATAAATAGTTATGCGTGAGAATTAGTTATGTGTGATAAATAGTTATGTGTGATAAATAGTTGTGTGTGAGAATTAGTTGTGATAAATAGTTATGTGTGAGAATTAGTTATGTGATAAATAGTTTTGTGTGAGAATTAGTTGTGTGATAAATAGTTTTGTGTGAGAATTAGTTGTGTGATAAATAGTTATGTGTGAGAATAAGTTAGGTGTGATAAATAGTTATGTGTGAGAATTAGTTATGTGTGATCAATAGTTATGCGTGAGAAGTAGTCCTGTGTGAGAATTAGTTATGTGTGAGAATTAGTTATGTGTGATAAATAGTTATGTGTGAGAAGTAGATATGTGTGATAAATAGTTATGTGTGATATATAGTCATGTGTGAGAATTAGTTATGTGTGATAAATAGTTATGTGTGAGAATTAGATACGTGTGAGAATTAGTTATGCGTGACAAAGTGCACTAGTACATATGACGTGCAAGGTGCGGCCCACTCACGTATGAATGGAGTGTCACATGGGGTGGTGTGGGGGTGGGTGTATGCCTTCCCATAACAACTACGCCTGATGTGGGCTACCTACAACAGTTGATTGCACCACCACCACCCGTTAAGAGCCGTGGGCGCTCCAGTAGTAAACATGGTAACCAAAACTCGCTAACTAAGCCTAAATGAAACAGGTATACTGGGCAAATCCCGTCAAGGGTCTCGATCGAGCACAGGCTTGAGCCAAGTATAAGCTGACCAGACACTGTATGTCTGTAGCACGCCACAACTACACGAGGGAGCCACCACGTAGATTGTGATTCATCACATCGACATGGCCAGTGTTCTCGATCGCAAAAGAGTAGCGCGGTGTACCACAACTGCTTATCTATATTTGAGTTTCTTGATATGTACAGATAAGCACATACCAATACATCTGCGATACTTGTAAGGTTATTCGTACAAGCACCCATGTATGTTTACGCACGCCAGCAAGGACGATTATGTGAATATACGCGTTCGTTCATTGTATGTATATCTGCGCTTTGGTAACACAGGTAGACGCCTACTCAAATTCTCAGTCAGAAACAGTGCGTAAGCGTAGCTATTTATAAAAAGAAACACCTTAAACACTAAAATAAATGGACACCCACCGTACTTGATATTATACTTGCCCGTGTGTACACTCCCACCTGGGTTAAATACATACCAGTTCATTGGTCAAATCATCCAACTTATTATTTGTCGTATGCAATTCGCCCTTAAGTGTCCGAATGTCTGCTTGATCTTCGTGTTTGTCACGTTGCAACAGAGAGATAGCCTGGAGAAATGGTGATATGTGGACATGGGGTTAATGCAGGGAAGTGAACTTCACGATATATAAGCATGTAGTACATCTAATACACCTTGTGCACCCTACATACACAGATACACACAAAGACAAATACACACACACGTATACACATACACACACACATATGCATATACATACATACA